TCTATTGATGCCGACGATTAATGATCCCATACGAAACAGGTGAAGCTTGCCGAAGGAGAGAAGAAAATAGGTTCTGTAGATAAAATACAGGTCCTACTCACACTACAAGACTAAGGAACGTTTTTCTTCTGAACCCATTTCTCCTGAAGTAAACCTAATCAATTTTAAATGACCAGTTTCTAGAAGACTGGAGTCCTTGTCAGCTATTGCGTCTGCTAACAGTGCGAAGTTCAAAATCCGCCAGATTCCCTTGTGACGGCTTAATACATGTGAACCTCAACACACAAAAGGTTTTGTCATAGACGTGACTAACGCTGTACATCCCTGGTGACATCGTGTTTTTTGACGCTATAAGATTTTTCGTGGCCCTTTCTAGGCCGTAGTAACTATTATAAGGTCTCTTCTCAGACAGATTGATGCGAATGTTACCTGCGTTTACGGAACTGGTTTGCGTAGGCATACATGTACTTCGGTAGGTGTTATAGTAAAGGCTTTGCCACGAGAATAGTAAACTGTATAATTCATGACTATTATCGGTGAATAAAATGTTCATATATATATATATATATATATATATATATATATATATATTTACTTAGATATGTTTAATATTCATGTCCATTTTATAAGCGGTTATGTGAAAGTAACGTCTGCATTATTAAATCAACGGAAAGTTTTGTTAGATCAATGATCGGCTGATCAATGTCAACAGGATTCTAAGCAAGTTCTCGCAAAATCCTCATAAACATCAGATACACTTCCACTAACTTCTTCTAGAATACGTACACAATGCTGTAATCCCATCCAGTTTGATCGCAGGACGCTGAGAGTTTGAATGAAAAAAAAACTGATTACTTCTTTTCGAGGTATCATTTTATTTGCTTATGTTATTCGTGCAAATCAGATCTGGATTAATCTGGAAGTTAAAACGGGAGATCTGATTTGTTAACATGAAAAGAAAAGCACGTTCTTCTATTGCACATGTACACAGAAAAAGTAGGAAAAAGGCCTTGTCGTAGTCTGAAAAAAGCTGCTTGGCTGTTTAAGAGCCTTTATTTCATGACTGCTAAAATAGCAAGAGTATGTATCAAAACGAAGAGTACAAAAAAGTTCGGTAAGGACCTTCGAACTGTCAAGAGACTTCTACACCATTCTGTATATATGGGTCTTTTGTAAGTTGTTGTCCAGATCGCTTTTTACTGAGTGGCAACCAAAACTACTGGTTAGCCACACACGGAAATGTTTCGACGTTGTCGAAGCTCGAAACTAGTCTTTCTTGCGCACTTTTATTCCCATACATCTGTGAAGACTGTAAGGGAATGATCTGCCCCCAATACTACGGTCTCGATCTCTCTACCTTCCGTGAGAAACCTAGATATCTTCCTAGCCGCTTTTTCTATCCGCCCCAGCGTCGTTAGTGCCGCTTCTCTCTTTCTATTGAAGCAGAAACAACCTTGCGCTTCAGCCAAATCAGAACACGGTTTTGCTCTTGCTTTTTTACATCCGCTTCTAGTAATACTGAGTAAATGAAGGACTGCCGTGGGGGAGTAATACGAGACTCAGGGGACAAGCAAGCGACTAAATACACCTACCAACGAACGTAGCACAACCACGAAAGAAGAGGTAACCCAATGGGATAAACCCACCGATGAACTCAGAACCACCGAAGAGGGTCGTCTGCAGCTTTGTGCGGATTCCAAGCCACAAACACACCAGCAAGAAGCAATGTGACGCCGTCGAATCTGGAGAACGGATAGATTGGATGGAATCAGACTTTAGCTTCGCGGTGTTTCGGGACAGCCCAACAAGTGCAACGACGTAGGACAGAGATGTGGGGCTAGAACGTACTGATCAGACAAGTTTGCTGCTGCTACCTCTTCTCCGCCTTCTCCAGCTCGTCCCTAGAGACCATCGAACGGAAAGCAACCATCCCTGAGTTGGGCTTGTAGTCGTAGGCTTCTGGAACGACACAACATAGTGCTGCAAACATAAACAACAAGAGACCAAAGGGAGAAAAAGAGAGCGAGGGAGTTCCTACAAAAGCGACGTCATCCGGTGTGTCCTTGCGCATTAGCGGTACACTAGCGATAAGCCGTTGTAGCAGACGAAAGGATAAGCAAAGTGTTCGACGGAGGAGACCGCATAGGTAGCGAAGATTTATCGGATAGGCTGTGTAACAGCTATGTGACACTAGTGAAATAGATAAAGTAGCATATTTAAAAGCGTACTTTTGCTTATATGATTGTGTAGATCTTAAATAAATAAACCACGGTTACAATTTAGGAAGAAGAAACTGTTCGAGGTTGTTCTCTCCATTAAAGAAGAAAAGTATTTCATCGTGATCGTCAGTTTTTGTTATCCATTCTATGCTTCAGTCGTTCGATCGCAGCTTTCGCTTTAGCGGGTGGAGAGCAGCGTGCGATGTATCTACTTAGGACTGTTTATAAGTGTAGTGGCATGAAGAATAAATTATTCGATGGGAAGTCGTTATGCAGCCCGTATATGATAGTCTACTTGATTTTTTGCAAATGCGGACTCCTTTTAGTGTTATACTGTGAATATGCACCCCCACAGTGACTCATTTGATCCTACGGAATTGATAACCACAAACCCGTCGACAGTTTAGAGCTTCAAATGCACACTATTACATAACTAATACATTGAAACGATGGATCAGCTTCTGCATAACGGGTCACTCTTCAGAACACCTCTAATTTATTTTGATGCATGATGCTTGGACAAATACTACATCTACTACTCCATATAATCTATAGCCACACGATTCATTTTCGGTCGGAGCAGAAGTTTTTGTAGGAATATTTTTCGGACGCTTGAGCTTTTCCGGCGAAAATTTTCGATTAACACGATTTTAATATAATAACTATTACTAATGCATTGCACAGATGTTGCACGTTTCTGCATCTTCAGGTTGTTTTATTTAATTTTTCTCAGCCCTTGATTTTTTAAGTTTATTCTGGGCGAAAATGTCGCTATTTTCATGGGCAAAAAGACAGTACCGTACTGAAAAATCAACTCTTGGAAAACCGTTTACATTGATCACGCTTCTTCTGTTAACCAAAATCATTTTAACCCTTTCCTTTATGAAAATGGTGGCGAAGTCATGCGAACCCAGAAGCAGCACGTAGTTCGCTGCAGTACTTCTCTTGCCGATAGTTACATTATATTACGATATGCTAAATATACTAGCTCGTCGTGCGAAACCCCTAGCCTTCGAGGCTTCGAAGTTGAGCAGATGTATTCGCATCGCATGCACGTGAGTCTTTGTTTCTGTCGGCCGCCAGGAGCTCGGGCGTTCCGGGAAGCAATAACCTGCCTCTCTTTGTGCCTGTCTAGGTCTAGTGTCTCCATCTTGGTCCAATGCCGGTGTTACAGCCGCTGCTAGAGCGGCCGTCGCCGTTCCTACCATTTCTTGTGCTACTTTTCTTGGGGAGTCACGCTTACCCTGGAGCTCCCTTCTAAACGAGTAATGGGTGTCCCCGTCCATTCTTCCCTCTACTTAACTCTAGTCGTCTCTGCCAACACTACCATCCTCCATCTATGCACACACATAGCGCTTGGCTTGCCTCGGGAAGGGCGAGATCTGGCAGTACGACCAGCTCTGTAGAAGCTAACAGAGACGGATCGCTCCCCGGTGACCCACACTTTTCTTCAAGGGCAGACACAGAATTCAGTGCTGGCACAGTAGCTAAGCGCAGTAAGCCAATGGGCAGCCTAGCTGGCCGCATACGGCCTCACATATGTCTTGTTCTCGGTAGACACTGTAGATACAGAAGGCTGTGATCTAAGAGACAATAGTTAGGGAGCTTGCGGAGCTGAGCGAAGCGTCATTGCCTTATGTGGCTGTCGAATGTGAACCTGAATAGATGCCCGAATAGAAATAAAGAGTTTTCATTTATTCGTGCGAAAAACAAGAATTACCCTTCAAAAAATATTGTGCTTTTTTTATGGCCAGCTTTTGTAAGTGCGCTTTCGTAAGTGTAAAGAAATGCACTCAGGTACAATGTCGTGTAACAGGATGAAGACAGATGTCGCGTTGGATGGAAAATGGAGTCGTAAAATCAATGGGTGACCAAGTCCTTCTCATAAGGGAAGCATACATACGTCAGAATAAAAATACCTCTCAGTTATTAAATTGAAAGCACCTATTTTCTGCTTTTTTGAGAAAATTTCCAATACAATAATACACATGAATCATTAAATTTATATTGACGTATAGATTGTTTAACTCTAATTTGTCTTCTCTTCAGTCATAGGTTGCGATATGTAATTAACTCTAATTATAAGGATATCTATAGGAGATAACAGGAAATTAATTCAAGAACGAAGAAGGAATAAAATTAAGAAGGAAGATATGTAGTAAATAGTCACTTGATTTTCCACGAGGGGGCGGAATTTTGCGTAACAAGTTATCAGCCAACTTACAAAAAAATCTACAGTGATAGTTACATTTTTGTACTACGGTTTTAAATATCGAAGCATATGTTATAGTTTTACTTTCCGAGGGCATTCGAAATATCGCTTTAGTTTAAGCAAGACCAATAGTAAGTTTTTACACATTTTCTCATATCTAAAATTTCAGGCCAGTTTTGACTGTGATGCTTTGTATAAACCTGCTTATGCTTAAGCAAAGGTCCCATAAAAAAATCTCATCGAGCTGATTGTATCATAGTTATTTGGCATATAAATAATGACTACACGTTTCGATGGCGGTTATCTTTGCTCTGTAGTGCAGCATGAAAAGAACTACCGAATGCAATCGTATTATGCGTTCTACGTTAAGAATAGGACATTGGCCAAGAATATAAAACATCTAAATAAATCTAAGTATGTAAATATACTAAAGTAATGAGGATATTTTTATTTAAAATCAAAAGAACGATCGAATAAAATGGGCATCAGGTCCACTTTATTCTAAGAGAATTTTGTCTCTGGACCTCGACAACTATAGCTCTTGAAGAAATCTATTTTAGTGGGCCAGCCTTAAGCTTACCGACAAATTATGTCTTCATATTGTGTCTTTCCATTAAGCCTCACTGCTCCAGGATAAACTCCAAAAAACTGATTCGATATCCACTCTGTATATACGTCCATGAAAACGGGCCTTTACTTCTTCCCTAACGTTGCTAGTGCCGCATCTATCTTCGTGGTTGGGAAAAACAGGAAGCGGGTTATCCTGCACTGGGAGCGTCGGCGGTAGCCCGGTACAGCCTTTCTGCCGGTCTTCTCATCTCAGAAGTCATTCTGTTGAGAGCGGACTGCTGTAGTCCGTCCTTCTTGTCGTCCCGCTCTCCTTTACTTGGGTGTGAGCCTTCGTTTGGATGTAAAGCATGCGTTCGCTGAAGTTGTGCGCCCGTCGCCGCCGCCGCCGTCGCTCCAGCATGTCCCCGTCTCTTACGTACCGTCGCCTCTGTCTGTAAGGAACCCTCGTCGTCATTCTTTGCTCTGCGTTCGATGTATTTTCCTGTCGCCCTGCAGTGTACCGAGACACCATTATTTTGATGACCGACTAAACGGAAGAGCAGGAGAACTCTAGAGCAGGCGCAGTGAAATAAGACGGCGAAGAGGAAGCACCCCTTCGTGTGAGCCCCCGGGGAGACGACCAGCATCGAGCGGAGCAACCAGACAGCCGGCTAGCGGAGGAAAGCCAGCAGAAACAACAGCGGCAATGGCGTACGGCGAACGTCTAACGCTTTGCCTCACGATGCAACCGCTACTCCGGAAAAATACGCAAACAAAAAACGCGACCACATAAGAACGCGAATGGCGGCGATCGAAAAGACAGGAAGAAAGAAAGAGGGAGGATAAGAACGAGCGAAGTAAGCCAAAAGTGCAAGAAAATGACCAAGAAAAAGAATACGAGCAATAAGTGAACAACGAATAGAGAACTGACTGAGTACAAAGCACGGCCAAGACCGGAGACATATCCGGCCCCTGCCGGCCCTGGCAAGAAAAAAGGCTCGAGTCTCGAGATAGGCAGAACGAAAGTACTAGATAGTCCGATAAAGGGCAGGCGACGGCTAAAAAAGAGGGGGGCCGCGGCGCATGGCGGGATAGAAAATGCGAGAAAAAAGAACGAAGAAATTGATAGGTTGGGCGGCAAAAGAAGCACGCGCCATCGGCGGTACCGGGTACTGAGAGGAGCTGAGGGCGGCGCAAGAGCTACAGTGAAAAGGGGAGTAGATAGCTAAAGAAATGCCGGGCAAAAGTGGGGGCAAAACCTGGATAGTTGTACCACGTTGGGGAACCGTTGGCAGCAAGCTCATTGGCTGAACGAATATTTTACAACCACCGGCACAATCGGTAAAGTCATGTAGATGGAATGACGATTTTGGCTAGATAGGTTTTAGAGTTGGAATTCGGTGGCAAGAAGGATATGGATGAGAAACAATAGAAAGGACAAGGCAAGAGCGTCCCATTTGGTGGTATTTTCTATTTGCTATTGTTAGGAACGTTTTTATCAGTAACTAGTTTTCGCACTAATAGCGCTCGCGTGTAATGGCTGTTATAATAATGGTAAAAGACGTTAAAATTTGGTTCGTTTCATCATAAATACGAAGCTAGTGCTCATATACATCATCGATTACTTTAGCACTGTTATATATTATATAGTACTTATATATAAGTACTGCTACAGTTCATCGCTTTACACGCTAGTGACTAAATCACCTTATACACTTCAAATCAGTAACTATCCTGATGTGTTTGTTGCCTCTAACAAAAACATCCCTACAAGCCACCCTTTCGAGAAAGCTCCCAAAATTGCCTTTATATCAAGAAGCGCTTCTGATTAAAATTAGTGAAGCCCGCATAGGATTCTTCCAGGCATGTTCCTCGTTCAGTATAAAATCGGTTTCGGAAGACTATTAAATAAAACTGTAAAGGTAGCGACAAGATCGATTGCATTTGAATTGCCGTATTGCTTTGTTTCATGTCATCTTCTCAAACGAAAGTGATACATTATTATTATTGACTATCACCATTATTTTATTAACTTATTTACTTAGCAATTATTTACTTCAGTACAAACGAAGCCAGTGTTCTATACAATGTAAACCGCATTGATTTTCCCGGCCAAATTCGTTCTCTGATGGCCTGCCTTCCAGGAGCTAGCCGCAATGTAATGAGCCGCTGCTGTGCTGTGACCCAGCTGACTGTGCCCTGTCCTAACGGTGAGGCCGGACGTAAAATTCCAGATACATACATAATTACATAGCATAATTTTTTCCCTATTTTTCAACTAGACATTTTCCCAAGCAAAAAAATTATGTTATACAGGTTTTACCTTAACAATCGGCAGTACTTGTTACACTGATAAGATGCTAACTGATTTGACAGAGTTCTTCGTTCTTTATGAAAATATTGTTGGAGGATAGCTGAGAAAGCGGCATGTATAATTGCATCTCACTTAGCATAGGCATACGACGTAGAAATATATAACTTTATTCAAATATTTGCGCCAGAGTTAAGACGCGGAAGCGGGCGAAACAATGGGGTGTGAAGAGCGTCTGCAAGATTGCTGCCATTATATCATGGACTTGGATTAAAGAACCGAGGTCACCTCCTCATCACAAACTGTTGTTTCATGGTCTAATGTTAATTATGATGCTATTGCACTGTAAATATGCAGCATCTTCTTTAGCTGCGCAGTCTTGTGTGAGGGCTTAGCCCTATCTGTTGGCTCGCGCCACAGACGCTCGCGAAAAGGAGTCCGCAGAAAAGGAGCGAACAATACAACCCCACGTGGACTTACTACGGCCTTAGCGCCATTTAAGCTAAAATTATTGTGTAGTTTCTGTTCCGATGAGAACATTTTTTGAGCTGTTAATGGTACTTATGCCATAGGCGTTTATATATCAGCAACTGTACCACCTACTGCTGCGCATCTAAAGAGACAAATTTATTGAAAAACGAGTTTCGTCAGAGGGAGTACTATTTTCGTATGTGTAAAGTAACGGTTTTTACAACCTAGAAGTTACATGAGCGTATCTAAGATAAAATGGTGGAAATTTTTTACTTTTATTATATATTATATGTGTACATATATTATTAACCCAACGAAATTTTAACGAAAAAACATCAAAAATAAAAAAAAATTCGAAGCTGTTAAATCTCTAGCTAGCGACCTGTGTGACATTCTATTTAGTATATATTAACGGCGAGCATTATCATTAGCATTATTAATAAGGTATTGACATCCAGGAGATATTCGGCAAGCCGATGACGTTTTTCGAAAATGGAAAACGTATAATAGTAGTAAGTAAAATATAAACTTTTGCTTGCTTTGTTTCAGACAACTTACTATTTATACATCATTGCGATGTCACAAAGAGGTGTTTCTCGATCGGGCGTAAGCGAGTGACAGATCCGCTAATAATCGCATTCACATTTGGCCTTCGAAAGAATTGCTAAGTCGGCAGATCACGACCGGACGTTGGAGCCAAGGGGACGGAAAAAGCGACGGACTGAATTCAGCAGGAGACACTTGCTAGTAAGGAAGAGGTGGCGGACCTAACAACGGATGGATCCCAATTAACGTAATGCAATTAGGAACCTGCACAGAGGCAGAAGTCTGCGCATACCCTCCCCGAACGCCTGAGGCCTGAAGGAGTAACTTAGTAAACCAGGTTGTCAATAGGACCATCCACTAGGGAGCTTAGAGGATTTATATCATTAAGAGTATTATCGAAAAAGTATCCTAACGACCGACTATCTATGGATTAAAATTACGCGTCACGGGTTAAGGCACACGGTAGTAAAAAAAAAATCGAAAACCAAACACGTGTGCACTGTTGATCCCTGTAATTTTAGTTCTTAGTTTTTACCGTCTTGATAGACTATGAATAGCTAAAACAAACTACAGAGACTAGAGATAGGAGTTACAGATGTGTCCTATATGTGACTACAGTTTACTTTGGGCCTCAAACTCACTTAGACCGACTGGCCAAATACCTTCGATTATCCCATATGCTAAATACGCAACATTTGCCCAAAATCATCCGAAACGAACATTTTTCACGCTCCGTACTTATATCAGTGCTTTTTACTGCTTGCAAGATCTATCAGCATCGTAATATCTATAAAATAATTGAACATCACAACCAATTATTATTATTACCGCAACAATCCGGATTAAAAGTTTGCATTAAATCTAATAGATAGACGAAAGTAGGACAGGGTGAAGAGAATGAGGAGAAACTATTCCAATGTTGACGTGCCGTGCGTTCGGTTCGTTGTTGAAGTCGTTTCCGAAGTTCTTAGCTCAGCTCATCAGCGTCTCCTGGCAGCCTCAGCAGTTCCTGTCTATCTCAACTAACGACTTCCACAATTCCGTCGACGGTCCTTCCACACGAATCCCCTGTCCCCTATCCACCCTTGCCACCTTTACGTTGTCTTATGGCCTTTTTCCACTTTCATTCTTGGCACTCTTGGGTTTCCGCTGTCGTGCCGTCTCTGTTGCTGTACTTTTTTCCTATTTTCCTTTCGTCCAGATCTTTCTCCTTAGAGTCCTAGTCGTCGACTACGACTGCTGAACGAAGCCGTCGCTACTGCACGAGGCCGCAGCAAGTTTCCCTTGACGCGCCGGCAGCTATTAGGGTCTCTGCGGCAGGCTAGAGGCCGTGAGCGGCCGTACGTACTCTACGTTTTTCCGCCTCCGGCAGAGCCTCTTCGACCAGAGGCGAAGACTTCAGATGTCTCGCTCTTCAATCTTCCATCGTCGCTCGTCCTATACCGCTTCCTCCCTTTCTCTCTCTCTTTGGCTGTCAGGTGTTGGGCAAAGCAAGACGAGTGCGTGTGCGGGCACGTCCGCTTCAGAGGGAGCGGCGAGCACCCCAAGGTAGCGGCTGCCAAGCCGCGCTTCGTTCGGTTGGGATTTCCGCCGGCTACCTGGTGGGGAGACAGAGAGAAGGAGAAAGAAAGTATAAGAGAAAAAGAAGACAGTGAGCGAGTGAGGTTCGCGAGAAATGGTAAGGAAATGGCAAAGAGGAAGCCGGCCGGTGGATGAACACTTTGCAAACCCTAAACCACGGTCACGTTCGCCGTCACGCCAAAAAGGGTGAGTTGCAACGAGTTGCAGCGTCTAATGTTCGGTGAACGAGCGCCGTCTTCTAGACGCTAGAGAAGGCACTCTCTTGGGGGACTACGTTCATGGTGGTGACCGACCGTCATTGGCAACGGTGGCGGCTAGGGGGTTTAGGGCCTTTGCGAGTGCCGAGGCGACGACGACGACGCCTAATTAGCACAAACTCACAAACTCCTTCGTGCTGCCGGCGACCGCCGATGAGTAGTGAGCGGCGGACTAACGCCACACGGCGGAGCAGGGTCAAGGCACCAATAAAGGCGATGCCGCCGCAGCTGCCACTACTGCACCAGCAACAACGCAACCGGCATCACACGTTGTTAGGGGACGGCGTCAGAGCTAACTCAGTGGAGCTACGTGATTATCAGCAGTGGCTGGCTGGCTGGCTGGCTGGAGGGAGACGAGAATGCGAAAAGGTGAGGTGAGCCAATGGCAATGGCTTTGGTGTTAGCGTGACGTGGTGACGTGCTTTGCCACTTTAGCGTAACACGCTACTGTTAATAATAGTTAGAGCAGTAAAGCTAGAGGAAATTGATAAACACATATTTGCTTTGGATATTAAAGTATACAACATACAAGCTGAGTAAAAATACTACTATATAATAGCCATATGTATGGCCTCAGGTTGAAAGGGATCAGAGTTCACTGCTTCGACTTCTTCCACCGGAACATAGTACACAACCTATTAAAAGAATTTTATCTTAGATATGCCAAATTGCCGGGCTTCATCCCAACAGAACGAGGGCTGGCAGTGGTGCTACATTTATGATCTATGAAATCTCAGTGATCAGATTAATTGCGCACGCATTTGTTATTGATTAAACAGAAAGCTCTTGATTTCATGACTCATTTCGATTACTTGATATAGCTTTAAGGCTGTACACACAGTTGTCATAGGCTTGTACATATATCTAACATCCTTATAATTTCGATTGCAACCGTAGAACACTCCACAGAATCAATCAATCAATCATCGGCATGCTACACTAATTTACCAATATGCATCAAATAGTTTGGGAACAAGTTCAAGGTAACACTGAGAAATCGTAGCTCACCGATCACGTAGTTCCGATCATGGGGTTCTTTTATCTTAAAACTATAATCTCTACTAAGGGGATTTAGCTTCCTTCTTGCAGGAAATCTAGAGTCACCTAATTTCCGTTACGCGCGACTAGAAACAAAATTTAAATTATGGTTCGATGCAATACGTAAACGTGCGAAATTCAGGATTATTGATTTAATTCTGCCAAATACTTTTATAAATATCACAGCTACTTCTTCCAAAAATAGCTAAACGATAAGGCGTTATTTGAATTAAAGTCAAAGGCTCGATTGATGTATTTATATAGGTTGGATACAATTAGGCCATTATACCTAACATTACGATATAATAAATGCACTTAAATGAAAAAGTAGAAAACGTAAATAGAAATAATTATGATAAACATTTAATATATGAATAACTTTTATATGACAAGTTATTTTTAGCGATATACCTTGCCGAATACGCTGTTGAAGAACCGCGTTGTTTACGCACAGACAGGGCAAAGCAAGCGCTAGGGTATCATCACTGATTTAAGGACCTAGGTCGAAAAATTAAACCCTGCCTTTTGTTTAATTACAATCATATTGGACCTTTAGTTACTATTTCAAGTTCGTTAAGAAGGCTGTGAGAAGCTTTCTTGTTTCTGTCCCCTATGGAAAGAGTTCGTAATTAATACGAACTACATTGCTAGTACGACAAGCGAGGCTGCGTTTCGCCAGCTTTATCGACCGTTCGTCCTTTCACAATAGAGATACGACCAGGTGGACCGTACCGGAACTTCCGCATTGTCATAATGGTTAATCTTTTTTTTAACAAAGTGCCAAATAAATAAACTTATTGTTATCTAATTTTTCGAATTAATTGCCTCCAAGCATTGAACATACTGCTTGTCAGGCACAGCTGCAAATAACAATCTTCCTAAATATCGGACTACCTATCCTTGCGTTAACTAGGATTATTCGGTATATATCCCTGCGAATATACCTGGCAAACCCGATCTGTTCTTCCTTGAGAAATCAATATTCCTACGAGGCATATTGTTGAACTTCCAACAATATACTCCCAGCAGGCAACAGTGTCGTCGTCGCACGCAGATCTCGTCGCTCGAATGGATCACTGCCATATCATTAGACATTGCACCTTCCTTTTACCGCTGCCACTACTATTATTGATCATTAGTGTTCATTCTTTTCTCGTAGTTCATCTTTTTTTTTTTCTCGTTTCTCGTTCCCCCACACGCAGCTGTTCCTAAACCCCGCCATAGTTATGTTGTGCCCCTCTCCAAGTGGCCTGTAGTGTCACGCTGCGAGACGCGGCACACGTGCGAGTCATTGCTCGATTGGATTCGAGATGTCCATAGTATAAGAGGTGAAAACGACCAAAAGGAAAACGAAAAAAGACGTAAATCATCTCGACACAACGCGCCCCGAACAACATTTCAATGAGAAAGCTTGTCGTTGACAAAAATCGTTCGCGCCCTCCAATCATCGACAAAGGCAGATCGCTTCGTTTGATTCATCCAGTCAGTAATCTCGAAGACCGGTCGGTCCTCGAAGCGCTATTGTCGTCCGCTTCCTATATATGGCCGTCCCTGGCGCCGCCAAGCGAAGCACAACGTTGCTCGCGTCGGAGGGTGATCAATGGATAGTGATCGGGCCATTGGCAAAAGACATCTGAAACCCCCCGGTCGTTTTTCGCCCGACGCGACCAAGCGACCGCCGGAGAACAGCACCACAGAGAAATACACGAAAGAGACGAAGAAGGGCCTTGCGAAAGAGAAACTTCGGATATCCCGGAACCCGAAGCGACGGTTGGAGCGGGACCGGTAGTGACGCCAACGGTGACAGCAGCGCCAGCAGTCGGCGATGGATAATCTTCGATGCCGCACGATACTACCCGGGCGTTCTTTTCCGCCGCCGCGGTTATAACCCGAGTAGATGGCTTCAAGACGATCGAAAATGATCAAGGGTAACCGATCAATTTCTTATAGTGGTGCCTTGTAAACTGCGCCATAGAAACGTCGTGGAACTCTTTGTGTTTTGTCTGCGTCACTGACTGATTGTCGTTGGATGTGAAGTGTTACTGACTGTGCTGATTAGGGATTAACAATACACACAACCTGATATAGTTTTTGTAAAGGACAACTCGTATTTTATCCAGCTCAACTGAGAGCTCGCCTTTCCCAAAAATGCGCATTGAAGGCTCCACCAGTTCATGCAGCGGTACTGCCCTGAACATACACTGCACTACATTACCCATTTAGTTGAATACCGGTTGAAGTTAATGCAAACAGCGAATAAACAGCGTTTTTCATCATTCCAGTGTTTCTTTCCGTAAACTGGCTTGACTCCATCACAACGACTGCAGTAGTCAGTCCTCCGGGTTAAGTTGGATACACTTTACTTGCACTTCTGTGCTTAGAGAACGTTACTTTGGGGGCTAGCGACGATGGGCTGTTTTCAATAAACGCAAAAGCATTGCCCCTCTTTATCGAAACACGCGAATTCACCGCGTTGACTGACGGCTGCCATTCAATTGAGGCAGAGACACCATTAACTTGGGCAATTGTATTTTCCCATTGAAGGGAGGCTACACTGTTGAGTCGTTCACCGGAGAAGAAGCTATTTCCCTGATTGACTCCGCCAAGGCAAACTGAAGAGACAGGAAAACCGCTCTGAGCCAACCCCTCAGAGGACCACAAAAAGAGCTATTTTAACGCTGTAAAGAACCGCTTATTAGCACTTTAGAGTCACTTCGGTGGTGGGTAAACGATAATTTAACGAAATAATCTATTTAATAATAGATGTTTCGGCAACAGTCCTGTATTATAGTAAACTGACAACAGTAAGACGTGCACTACGAGGTTTAGCACCAAGAAAAGATCTAGAGCAAACGTATTCGCTATTCATTAGGAAAAAAAAACCCTATACGACCGAATGTATAACGTATTATAATATTGCATTTCATAAATAAAATCGATGAAATTTCAATTTTATTTCAACGTTTGCCTATTTCAATGTCTACACATAGCAATATAAAATAACGCAAGCGAGTACAGAATTTCCATACCGAATTGTATGCGTTTTGTTGCACCGTTTAATTTATAATTTAACCCTCTATAAGCACAAACTAAGCCATGTCTGTATTCTGTTAATCTACCAACATTAAAAAATCGAGGTTATTCCAGCAGTAGAGCGATTTTACATAATATTTGATACTTCCTTTGCAAACGCATCCTATCGTTGTTGGTGTCACGTCTGTGCGTTATGTCAGTGATGCTATCGTTGGCCTGAGCTTTAGATTGGAAAAGCTCGATTACCGGCAATAGCAAGAGAAGTGTGATTGTAAACAGAACCTACCCAGAAGCCGTTTGGTCTTTGCCGCAATGTTTTGCCCCTGGCCATATCTGCGTCACGGTGTATATCTCGGGTAATCCGTGAAGCTCCTTAGCAACTTAGCCAGCCTGGTCGTCGTTCATCCTTTCCTTAGGCTCTTCGCCGGTAGCTATCCCGTCACCAACTTATAGCAGCCGGTCCCGGAGGGTACTGCCCGCCTTCGGCATCGGCCACTTGCCGCACCCTAGGTTTCCTTAGCTCTGCTCTCGCTTCAGTCCTGTAAGCCGGTTCAGTCTGATGGCTTTAGCTCGTCGTCCTAGGGATCCAGGACGGGTGGCTTGGCTGGGCCGTTCCCCTTGCTCGACTCCTTGGGCTATCCGCTGATCCCCTAGGAGATTGATTTAAACGTCTTGCTCTCATCGTTCCGTTAGCCTTCTCTTTCGCACTTTGCTGTGTTACCGTACTCTCTCTAGACACAGTGGCGCTCAGCCGTCTCTCTCGCTTCACCCCCGTTTCCGACACATGCACCAGCCTAAGGCATCTAGAGCCTTGGAAGCAAGACTGAGCAAGAGCTTACGGTAGTAGGCTGTACAGTTTAGATCGGACCGTACGTACCCGATTGGGTGCCCAGTGCTGCTCTTTAGCCGCCCCACAAGAAATCCTGCAGAAGTCTTTCTCATACAGGCCCTGCCTTCAGGAGGAGCGAGTCCCTTGGTGGGCTTCGCAGTCGCAAAACAACGAACGACTAGCCTCTGGGCAGGATCAGATGCTGGCTTTTAGTCTAGACTTCTTTTTCTTTTTCGCCGTGTAGCATGCGAAAGGAAACCTGTCAGCCAGCAACCTGAGGCGAACTGACTTTGAGGTGGGAAGGCCATAAACAGTATCGGCTAGAAGTTTGGGCAGTTTTCATGCTGAAGGCTGGTGGAGGAGATTGACAGCCAGAGATCGATCACAGATCTCGGTTCGCCACGTCCCATAACGCAAGCAACACACATAGCGCCGTTGTTGACGACACTGGGTCCCGCCCAAGTGAGATGAGGCAAAGCTTCTTCAGGCTGCTTCACGTTGGAGTCACGGTGGTTGCGAGTAGCCTGGAAAACCGCATTTGCTGGCTGACAGCGACAAATTTTGCCCACAGATTGCTTAGGACAGGACTTGCGGTTAGGGAAGCCATTAATGTGTGATCAGCACGGTACGATGAGACCCATGAGGAAATCGCATGGTATCAACCTAGACTATGACCCTTAAGATACCGTTATAATGCTTCAACAGAAGAGCAGGTGATTTCGCACGTTAGTTTCAGATGATACCTTCCAGATGCAATACTATTTTATTGTATGCCGTATTAATAAAGCATAGCGTTTTGACTTAACTTTTAATAAAGTTAATAATAAAGCACTATATAATATAGTGCTGATATTTTACAATCAGGGAATTAAGTTAATATTGTTTCGGCGTCAACCGATCTCCCGAAGTATAATGAGTTAATGTTTGTTAATATTGTTTTCATTTTACGTATCCATCTTTTTACCTTATTCCTTCCTATTGAGACAGAAGCAGATCAGTCAATGATTGTTTCTAAAGCGTGATTTACGTTTAACATCTTACTTGTTATAACAAGCTTTTATTTTGATTTTATAAGAGAGCGCCTCGATTTTGTGCCGATCTTGCCTATCGGCATTATGCATCGTTGCCTCGGACAGACAGATGTTGTGGCACTATGCTTGTCTTTGCCGCTGTTACTGTCACAGTTAGCTTTATAGATTAAGCGTCATGTCTTGGCTTTTTTTACCTTGATCTGTTTGAGTCCATGTACCCCAGCGCAATCCAACATTTCGGTTTCAATCCACGATTTTTCGTCTACAATTTTCGCGAATTCATTCTAAGGCCATGCTTTCGACGGATACTGCAGCCGCGCATTGAACTCACTTGCAACACTCGCGCAGTCGTCACGCCAAGCAATCGGCCCAATACGACGTCGTATCGAGTCCGCCTACACAGCCTACAGCCGAACAGTTTTCCCTCGGACAAACTACGAGATATTGCAATCATTCTTGTCATCTGGGTCTTTTTCGTTTACGATGGTCACTGTGACGTTCGCTCCGGACCTGTTAGGGTCAGCGGTTACACATCTGCGATCATTGTTTTTCATGTCCGACCTAATGGTAGTCATGGCCGTGGTTGTGGCGTCAGTCGTAGCTCCGGTTGTGGCAGTATCAGTAAAAAGTGCTGACTGCGCTGATGTCGTGCTCGTTACGCTTGACGTTGTCGAGTCCGACTTTCGACTGCCTCTTTTCTGCTGGCGATCGCGACTTCGATACCGGCTCCTGCACCGATGTTTCTGCCTTGGGTGCCTTCTGGACCTTGGCTTTTCTAAATGACCGACGCGGTAGACAATGAAAAAAGGCAGGTATACTATCAAACGCTCATTATCGGTTAGAATGTAGGCTTTTATTTCTAGCAAGGAATACACCGCGGCTGGACCAATGCTCTCCTAGCAATTTGTATAATCTACGAGGAACTGTAGTTCAGTGGAATTCAGGTTCGCAATAGGCGGACTTCGCCTACGTAACGGAATAGTTACTTCGTATTTTGAACGGGTGATGTCGAATTACCGCCATTGTCACGGCTATCAATCACAAGTAATTTTAATAATAAACAATAAATTTGTAACATGCGAGTCTAATAATAATAATAATAATAATAACGACACGCCAAGCATGCGATCTTCGTCCACAGTGGTACATCTTGACAAATCAACATGCTCTAACTAAGTTAAAGTAGACAAACGTTGTTAGGTTACTTTCAGTTCCATCACTATTCAAAACATTTTGTTAACCTCCTCGTCTAGGTTGACCATATACCGATTGCGTTATGTTGAAAGCGCCTAAGCCGACAGAACGATGAGTTGCTACGAACTATTTTACTGCGAAACTACTTCAATCTACAAATCTGGCTATGAATTTCATTATCGCTTTGTCCGTTTATACAGCGTCGATAAATCACGATCATGTCCAGTGTCTGTAGCCAGTAACAAGTGTCGACAAGATCTGCTCACAATAGGCAGACCCTAATTGTTTGCCTGGTTGGCCTGGTGACATCTCGAAATGAACTCGCACTGAAGGACCGTTTTCCGAAAACAGTAAGTAGGCTACGTGATTGTATAAATAAGTATCGCTCACCTTTATGCCGGAATCGTCTAGACAGCTCATCTTTAACAATACAATCGTTCCTTCCGTCGATAGCTGGGTTATAGGGGGAGACTTCATCAACACGAGGCTTCACCGATGGCGCCGCTTGTGTGGTAGCGTTGGTTTTTTCGTTATCGGCCATAACAACTAACCTCAATGAGTGAACTGACCACAATTCACTATTAAATGGTACAATGAAAATTTCAACATATTGCCTTCGTCGTTTCAATTCTCTAGATAGATAGTTCAGCCGATCAGTTAAAACAAACAGGTGATTCTGTCGAATATCAGATATGGATCAGTCAGGATGATACAGATTTGAACCAGTGAGCAATACCGAAAAGATGCAGTCTCTTCGTCACCGGCCAAACGTGATAACCTATAAATGCATTGCCTAGTACTCGTCTATGACAAAGACTGTTTTAGATAAATTTGGTTCTTGTGTTTACATGTAAAGATAATGATTCTAGTTCTGTTAAACGTACCGAAGTCACACTAGGTTGTATAAACTGAAACGGGGTGACGTTCGCCTAAACAGCGGATGAGTTAGAACTTAGTAGCATTAGGAACTTAAATGCCCATATCATAATCGAATGCTTGTTAAGTTTGGTGCCCTTTAATAGTTAATGCGTACTTACATATTTGGATGCTTTAACTTAATTTCTGACCCAGCCAAATTGTGGTTGACTATGGAAGTAACCATAGACATGGAGTCAAAGAAGGGCAGATGTTAAAAACGAACAACGGACGCAGGCCAACTTAGACATGGCAATCCGCAGTCGTAACAAAGACCGCTCGACATATGCGGCCCTCTTCGAGTCTTCGACAGTTAGTCGAGCAGGATCTTCGACTGTCGACCCTTTTGATAACTATGCTACATCGTCGCAGCTTCCATGGTCCCCCGATCAAAACATCAGATCTCAACGTGGGCAGACCATAACGCGACTGCCACCGCTGTCGTACGATGCACACTTGAAGTTCAGTGAAGCCCAATACTCGTTTGGCCGCAATGAAACATTCCTGGTCGATCCAGAGCCGCTGGTCAAACGGTACGTAGCTCTAGCTGAGAAGTTTGAGAAGCAATTTAAAACTTTTGTTGCTGACACGCCCGTCGACACCGGTGAGACCCGTGACCTTGCAGATTTCTTTCGCAATGAGAAGTTTACTTGGATGCTCATTTTAGCTCTTCTGGCTGCCAGTCAGGGTGAGGACTCTTCAATAGATCTAGAAGCATCGGTTGAATTACGTCTTTTAACTTCAGACGCAGAAGAAATTGAGGCGCTGTTCGAAACTTCATTTGACTTGCGCAAAACACAAAGCTTAATTGACTGGCTGGAGCATCGCTATTGCGAAGAGAAGTGCGTATCAAACCTGGCGTCACTGCACTTCTACAAGGAGCATGGCATTATGTACGAGTACACGAAACGGGCAATACTCAGGGATCATGCCCATGACGGCATCGTTACGGAACTTGATCCGGACGCTCCAATGCGACAGCAGCGGACCCTGCACGAGCAAGACGTGGAAGATGGACAACGACTTTTCCGTTGCGTATTTGAGCTTGTGCGCGCTGGTAAACTGAGCGACGCCCAGAAGTTGGCCGTCAGCCAAGGGCACTTTATGCTTGCTGCTGGCATGCAAGGTTGGAAAGCGTTCCGAGACAATATTCGAGACAGTGAAGGAAATCCTTTACCCGACGAAGGTAACCCTTACCGCGACTTGTGGAAGATTGTCGTGTGGAAGAAGTTGGCTGATGACCGGGTGGATCCAGCGGAAAAAGCTATTTACGGTGCTCTAAGCGGCTGTCTTGAAGCTCTTCTTCTTCTTTGTACTACCTGGGAAGACCATCTCTGGGCTCACCTTAAGGTAATGATAGATGTTGCCATCGAACTATATTTACGGAATTCACGATGCGCTGATATCGGACGCCTTCCAGATGCCTATCCTAAAGAGATTGAGAGGCTTGATGTTGTCATCGGAAATATTGAAAGCCGTACTGAAGTGAATGCCGGTGACTTCTTTCGACAGCTTCATAAGTATTTAATTCTACAGGAGGCCGAGGGTCTCTTGAATATGATGCTCGATAACTGTCAGAAACTTGTCGAAAAAGATAAATCAACAAGTCAAAAACTTTCGCACCAGCTTCGTCTCATGGCTAACCTAGCTTTATTTTTACGGTACGACCGCCAAATAAACCAAGGCAACGCTAAGACTCTAAACGATCCTGTAAACTACATAGGTAAGCCTGTCCAGCATTCAAACACAAGTAGCTTTTTTTTTTTAACTTGAGTCTTATAACCTAAAACATAATTTACTCAGTTAATGAATATATTCCTTACAGTTGCGTTCTACGTAAACCGGCTAATTTTGGAGGGTGTTTACGACATTGTCCCAAAATACGCACTTTACCTCCCGGACCCCCTTCGTGAAGAATGCTACCTCAACCTACTACGGACATTCAGAAATCCCACAGATACCCAGCAGAGAGCTATCATCGAGGCCGCGCAGTGCGAGGAAATCGATATTTATGGCTATTTAACTAAATTCGTGTACGAGTCAATTTATAAAGGGGACCAGATGTTAACGACCAACACCAGCGAAATCAGGGAAGACGACCTGCAAAAAATCGACGCGCTGAAGTGGCTTCTCGTGCGAAGCGGCTTGCAACTGTTGGGACTGCAGTATGTGAACAGCGCTCTTCGTTCAGCCGTATTAAATCGAAGGCTGCAGATGGCTCAAAAGTTAATAGCGTTAGTTTCTGCCGATGATATACGGGAACTGACCAATCTTTCTGCGGATGAAAATAAAGACGGCAATCTCAACCGGAGCGATATGCCCACCATACGCCGAGGAGAATTGCGGTCCCAAACTTCACGTGGTTCTATCTATGGCTTGAAAGAGACCGTTGATTTAGACAGCTATTCCGAAAGTGATAGAAGCGAGAAAGTCGATTCCATCCACCGTAACAAGGCCCTTAAAGAATACTTCTGTTTCCAGGCCTATATCGAGGCGCACCACAGCTTTACCGAATGGCTCGAACATTTCCACAACAATAAACCTCAAATGGCACATGTTGACAATGTAGGACTATCAGAGGCTAAAAGGCAGCTCACGGAGGAATTCGCCAAGAAAGCATTAGAAGCCAAGTTGGAGACATGGCAGGTTAGCTTGAACGGGCTTTGTGACCGGACCTGTGCTCATTTGTACAACATTCTAAATTACCAGGACGGAGGCTTTTTACAAGACTGCTACAACGAAGAAGTGGCATGCGAACGTAGCGATCAATCAGTCATGAACAGGGAAAAGGTGCGAATTGAAGAACTCCGCGCTCTTAGAAAACTCTGCGTGCCGGAGGTATGTGTGCAACATGTGTTCCAGCAGAATCTGTACACGAAGCTCATGTCTGATTCTTTTTCTAGTTAATTTTTTTCTTCGAAGTTGGATTTCGGTTTCATTCTCGGTCGTTTACTTAAGTTTTACAGAGCGTTCTTTAATTTTTCTGTTTTCTTTAACGTTCTAGATAGTCTCATTATTACATACCGTTCTTCATGGAACTGGCCGATACCCAGAGGCTATGGAAATTGCGAATCTTGTTTCCAGCGAAACTCTACGTCTGTATGAGGAATTTTCGAGCGCCGATTTGGCTGCTCTTCTTCTTAAAATACAGCAAAGCTCCGTGGAACTGATTAAGACGCCTGACACAATCGATCCTTATGGTATTAAAGGCCTATACTCTTTCTAAGAACAAGAAGAACCTTCGGCGGAGTTGTTATAATGTGGCCATTGATTAGTTATCATCTTGTACTACATAATAACAATAAACCATTACTTCATGATAGATGCAAATCATTTTGCGGTTATCTTAATAAGCGACAAACGAAATCATGTTGAGAGCAAATAATTTCAAGATTGTCTTAATAAGTGGCAAAGGAGGGAGTAAATATACTGAAATTCTTCTCACATAAGCTTGTTCCATATACTTTCTCTTTACTCTAACCATTTAGCTCGCCACTGTTTGTTTACTTCTATTTACTATTCTACAATAATAAGTAATTGTAGATCAGACAAGAGGTCCCCCACAAACTCTTAATCTGTATTACATAGTGGTTCTTAGTGCCTGTGAGAATTTTTTAAAAACATATCAGTCGATTAACATATTAGATCTTATTGAGAAACACGAAAACTCGCAACTGTTACGGAAATCTAAATAAATTGAAGCTGATCGAAAAAGTAACAGCAGATCTGCGTCTCCGAACATATTGTTTGTCAACTTCCATAAAACGCTTACCAGCTTCTAATGTCATAAATCTTTCGTAACTTAGTTGTGTGGGGGAATTTCGTTTCCGAGTTCAGGCTTGAAACCTGGCTTTTACAAATGAAAAGTGCATTTCCAGCATCTTCTTTTTGATAAGTAAAATACATACTCTACAATGTTTCTCTCGTGTACAGAGGACTGTTCATTTGTAGACTGCTGATTTTCAAAGGTGGCCTGGAAGGTACATCTGAAGCCTGTCGGTCATCCAGTCGGTGAAGTAATTCATAAATTAGCAGAGAAGATGAGCAGAGTTGGTGCGACTGTCACAAGTTAGCTTTATTCGGTGTAAGTTACTTAAAATTTATAGCGATCTAACGGCTAAGAAATCTAAAATAGATTATAAAAGAAAATTCAAGAGAATTCATACCGTGCACTTCCATTCGCAACTTATTTCCCGAATTTTTATCGTAATCCTTGGAGACTGCTTAGGTATCCTAGCGGATACAGAACGATCTCTTCGTAATCAACAACGCAACAAGCACAGAGACTAACTTGTTTTTTACGATCCTGTCCTATGGACCAATACTGATATAAAGAATACGGGCCAATATTAATAAATGTTCTTGTCAGCAGAAACCTGTTCGATAGAAGGCAGAAGTCCTCAGTAAGGTTTTCCGATACACTATCATGTATATCACTTATTATAAGTGGTGTTACTGATTGCATCTTGTGACGTTTGGTTTTAAGGACCTCAGACGCCTTATGGTACCTCACTACTGCGATTCCTAGCGCCAGCGTGCAAAGCGCCTCAGCGCAGTTGCAACACTTCGGAACTCAGAAGTTCGCATGGCCCCGAGCCTTCCAAAGCTCCTACGTACTCTAGCAGAGCTCTGTAAGGAGCGAACGCTGAACACAAATATTTGTTCTCTTTCGACACAGTCTGTGGAAGCGTCCCACAATCTTTTGGGTGCAGGAGTAAGCCGGGGACTGAGAACCGGCCTTTCTCGTCCTTTCCACTAGAGCATAGAACGACCTGATGGTAGGACAACCCAATGGTGAACGGAGTTTCCATTCTGTGAAATAGCGGCTTTTCTGCACCCCTTCCTTTTCCCTTTTACTCCTGTCTAGCCCCGGTGCCTCCTCTGAGATTGAATTTTGCCCCTCAAAATAGCCCCATACCGGCCGACACGCGAGATCGCGGCGCAAACCTTGTCGGGTACGACCTATACGAATGAGCGGTTGGCATTGGCAAACATCGACAAGTATCAACTCCACGAGCTCTACGACTACCACTATCGCTACCATTTTCGAGACCCACCGAACACTCGCAGTCCACACTCTGACCTGCTTACACTTTTGCGCCGTATTGCATTACGGGGACTGATGCGATGGCTGAGAATGGGCAGGAAAAAGTGGCCAGGAATGGAGAAGACGGCTGTCGGTAAATGGAATCGTAAAAGCATCACTAGAGAAATAGAAACGAAGCTCACCAAATAAGTCGGCGGAATCGACTAGATTGCAGCGCCTTCCGCGAAGTGACGTAGGGGTGGGCGGGCTGGCATCTATAGTGAATAATTTTCGTTTCGCCACTAGGACTATAACACAGCGTATACTAGATACCACTGTGGAACAATGCAGACGCATGGCACTACACTAGAGACAAGGCAAGCCTCACGTCTAATTTAAACAAGCTACCCGTTAAACAGTATTAAAACGTGTCGCCGACATGCGATGTTGCCAGCCCTAACAATCACCAGTTCGCAGATATGACATAAATATCCTGTGGTAGTATCCTTTTGATGCAAGCTAAATTGAAGCTGAATCGCTGACCGATATTATGATTAATGAATAATTGTCAGTTATAAAGTTGTATTGAGTACGTTTTGGCCCCTTTCGTTGATTGTATCCGTCTCGTAAATTTTCTGATGATCGAGTGTTTCTACCGTCGATAATAAGAGTTAGTTGAAGTGATCTTCCTCGGTTCATAGCGAGCTTGTTATTATCATTTTCTTTGGATTATATCATTTCCCATTGAAAATGGAAACGTCATACGGCTAGTAAAAGCTTTTGATTACTTGGATTTACGTTATTCAGTTCTGACTGAGTCGGACGAGGATTGCCTTGAGTCACTTCTTGCCAAAGAGTTTTCACTGTACCTGGAATAAGCATCCTATTTTACTTCCGTAGTTTCTTTACATCGGCAAAATATCGTTATAATTTCGCTTCTCTTCTATCCGACATGTCTACCGGTAGACTACGAATCCAATATGATATATGTGATTTAAACAAAACGATGACAATTCTTCTAAGAAAAATGACATTTCTTACTATTCTGGCATGCGATTATAAAAAAAAAAGAGGAAAATTTCAAATAGTGCTTATTACCTTCTTATTTAGTATTATCTGTCACCCTCCAAGCAAGTACGAATCCGATGAATTTTTCACCGTATTACAGACTGTCAAGGATACAGCATCTTAGCATCTTGAAAATGTTTAATGAAGTTTATGAGCTATCTACTTGGATTGCCCGCTACCCAATCGAAACGATATGTATCCGGTAGCTAAAATTCCTTCTTTCTCACGCCAACGTAGAGCCATTAATCCCAATTTCACGCAGCTTGCGAACGTCTAAAGCTGTTTGCGAGATCAATTTCTGCAATGGTACAGAACCACCTCCGTTCTAGTTTCTACTTGCGTCAGGTGGCAGGGCGCAAGCGCTACTAGGGTCGCTCTACTCCGCCATCCTTCTTGTGCCGCTACGAAATCGTCAAAAGGACAGATGGACAGATAGATAGACAAAGACAGCGAACGAGCCATACGGAGAAGAGGTCTCTTCGGAGGCGGTGAAGAACTTTTAAGCTCCCTGGTGTCTTGGTGACTTCCCAAGGGAAGGCGGTGTGGAATTTTCGCAAAGAAAGATGCGGTCGGCAGGCGAGTTTTGAGAGGCGCTCGCAGAGCGTCAGCTCCCGCTCACTGGCCGCTTGGGAAAGTCAAAATGGCAAGCGACAGCAAGAGAGCGGCCAAGAATTCTCACTTCTCGGGGTTTTGGGTTGGCGTTCTGCCCCGCTGCTGGCTGGACGGGTGGTGGTAGCCTGGCCTCAGTTAAGCATTCGGGATTACCAAGCGTGGCCCCGTTGTGCGGAACCGTCAGTAGCTTCAGTGCCTCTGCTGTAGGGAATCTCTCACAGACAAGAGAACATTGACTCACTCCGCCTCTGGTTCTTCGTCAACTTGGGGGACTCATGGCGTAGAAAGTCCGTGGCGTGACCCCATACTCGCGTACAAAGAAGAACAAATTCAGGCCGATAACTCCAACAACGGAGTTAACAGCACAGGAGTCGTATTTGTGCCGTATGCCAGTGAGCCCTACGTCTAGCTTAGCTCGAGTAGAAAGAGCTGTGCAAAATTTAAAACCACCGACACAACTTTAGAGGAAAACTTTGCTATCTATTTACTGAGCTCATTACTAATCATTTAGCTAAACATATACACGAATCTTGGTAACCCTTTAGAAGCTATTGTACCAATAGGCATGCTGTAAACATATTCATTTTTCGCGTCCTAGTTAGAAAAATTGCAGTTTAATGTGAACACACACGTGCATTTTTAAGTAAATGATTCCAAGTCAGGCATTAACATAGTTCGGTAACGAGTTAGGTTGGGTTAAGCTATGAGGCTCGTTTGTTTACACTTCAAAAGTCGTAGATACGTAAGTTCAACTTCAGTACATTATATGTGTTGACCCTGATCTTTTGAATGTTTCGAAACAAAATAGTCAGTACTACGATAGCAGCAAATGCATCACAAAGAGTTCAAGTTTAGGGAGCGGAAAACCTCGTAAGTATACAGTCACATAACGGTAAGGAAAATTGTTGGAAGGCCGGTAGACCTCATCCATTGCCCAAGGCAGAGAACTACAATGGTCAGGCTTTCGGCAAGGCAGGATGGTGGGCGAGTGCCGTCGGGGGAATTGTATTTCAGCGGGTTAGCAGAAAAAAAATGGCAAACGGCCATCGAAAATACCGTTTCGTTCCTTCTAGAGCGGCAAAGGGGTACACAACGCGCAATTTCAACATATTGCCGATTCCCTCAACTCTGGCAGCGAGTCTGTTTCTGCTTTCCACACCCTGCTTCGATCGACTATAGTGAGCTATGACTAGAGGACCCGTTGGCCATTTCTTGCACTATGCCAATGGAGTCGAGCTCCGAAAATTGTATTTCTTCGTCGTACGATTAAAGTGACCATTGACAGCGTAAAGATAGTGGACCCTTAAACCTGAGTGTGCGGACTACCGCTTAGCGTTTTGTTAAAGATTGACGCCAAATTTGGATTTTTCGCTTTTTTTTAATTAAATACAAACATTAAAATAAGCCAAAATAGAAAAAGTAAAGTGGCTTTTTTTTCTTTTGTATTGGGTACTGTTTAGCTATCAGCGTCTATTTCACCGTATATATAATGTTCTGTTTTATATGGTACACGTATATACAGTATGGCTCACGATAGGCCCCATTAGAAAAATATTCGGAATTTTACGCCTTCAATTCATGCCCAACGTAATTAGTCTGCCGGTATTTAGTTACGTTGCTTCCAGAGCTGTTATTGTAACAACATCTCAGACCAATGTTT